CCCCTGAGATGACACTAGCTTCAAAGACAAGGTTTAAGTATACATAGTGGGGAAAAATAAGTGGAAGGAGCTGGCAGCACCTCCACCTGCCAAACCCGGAGGTGTAGACGCTGCTTTTCCCAGGACACTTTCCAGCCAGAGAACACAACCTCTGCCAAAGCCACGTGCTGACAGGGCAGCTGTGGAGGTGTTTCAACGTGGTCCTTTCCTGCCCACCCACCTCTCAAGCACCTTGCTCTGACCACGGGACCAAACGCCAGGCGACGGGGCGAAGGATGCTCAGCTTTTGATTTTTCGAACCAGAATCGACGTCGATGCATCACTGGCCCATCAGCCGCTTTTCCCTGCTCCTCCTGCATCCCAGGGCTGATGCTCCCCGCAGCCGGTGGGGCTGGGACCCCTGTGAGCCTCCCACCCATCCCCAGGCCCCCGGCTCTTCCGTAGGGCGTGGGAGCTATTTCTGGCCTGGGAAAGCCTCCGCCAGCTGCCAAACTCAGGAATCTGCAGGAAAGGTCCCAGCCAGCAGCCACCCGCCGCACAATGCCGGCTCCGGGCAGCCCCTCGCCAGGGATTTTGCCGGCGTTTCCGGGCTGTCTGCATCCCCAGGGCGATGTGATGCTGTTTACAGGAAATACTGACTGAGGTTAAAGGAAAGAAACTCGGGATTTCTCCAGCGAAACAGGCACTTGAGCTTATTGCTTCCCCCCTGGCGTGGTGGGGGCTGCGTGGAGACTTGCCCAGTTTTTTTGGGAAAGAATAAAACAGAGATGCAAAAGTGCTGAGGTCGCGGCAGCAGCGTCGCTCCCGTGTCTGGGGACCGCGGTGAGTAGGGAGCATCCACGTGAGGACCCCATGAAGGGTAAAAACCCATCTCCAGGCTGCCTGGAGTTCATTTGTGTGGGCACTTTGGTTGGCAGCGACTCGTTAAGCTGAATTTCTGGAGGTAGAAAACGTTGGGAGCCCCTTTTCTGCTACTCCCATGCGGCAGGAGGGGTTTTGGCAGGAGGAGTCCATGGGATTGCGCCCGTGTGGGGACACACTACAAGGCATCTGAGAATTTTAGTGGGGAAAGGATTGAGGGAACAGCCCTTTTGGTAGAATTTGGGGATTTTTTTTGTGGTAGGTCTGGAGCGGGGGGGCTCGGACGGCAGAAACGAAAGCAAAATCAAAGTCTTGGGATCACGGAGCCAAGTGAGAGCTTGAAAAATATCAAAATACATTTTTGTGCTTTTTTAATGTTATAAAAAAATCTCATTCTGGTATGAAAACTCGTCTGTTCAGACAAAGGAAAATGGAAGATTTAGTGAAACTCTTGAAAGCCGCTCCTCAGGCTGCGGTCGGGGTGTTTTTCCTTGCCCTGCCTGGCTCCGACCGCTTGGGTAGGTTTGGCAAAGATTCACAGCCCTTTGTTGGATGTGAGGCTGCATTTTTTCAGAGAAGAAACCTCTCCAGCCAAAAAAAAAAGTCTCTCTTCTCTCGTTTCGGGTTAAATCCTCAAGGATCTGTGTCCTTTTTCCTTGCAGCCTGGGGGTTGCTGACGGTATTGCCTCCATGTGCTGCCGTGCATCCTCCAGAGGATGCGCCCAGCGTACGTGCTGCTGGTGGGATGGCAAATACAGCTGGGATTTGGGGGGTGATGGGTGGATACGGGTCAGGGCAGCGCAGCGGGATCCTCGCACAGGACTCTGCCTATGGGCAGGTTTCCTGCAGGCCGGGTGGTGGGTGCTGTGAGGATGATGGGCACAGCAGGTTCTGCTTGCATGAGGTCATGGAATCATGGAATCATAGAATGGTTTGGGCTGGAAGGGACCTCATAGATCATCCAGTTCCAACCCCCCTGCCACGGGCAGGGACACCCTCCACTACACCAGGTTGCTCAAAGCCTCATCCAGCCTGGCCTTGAACACTTCCAGGGATGGGGCAGCCACAGCTTCTCTGGGCAACCTGGTCCAGTGCCTCACCACCTTCATTGTAAAAAATTTCTTCCTTAGATCTCATCAAAATCTCCCCTCTTTCAGTGTAAAGCCATTGCCCCGTGTCCTGTCACTACATGCCCTTGTCCAAAGTCCCTCTCCAGCTTTTCTGTAGCCCCTTTAAGTACTGGAAGGCTGCTGGAAGGTCTCCCTGGAGCCTTCTCTTCTCCAGGCTGAACAGAGCACTGCAACATGTCCCTTGACCCCAGCCCTGCAGTGCTTGGTGATGGCTATTACCCTCTGCCACTCCTCACTCTGCCTTTTGCCCAGTAGCTGTGGGTCAATCCTGGGCTTGCTCATAAGAGGCAGTGATGGAAACTCTACTGCTTCCGCTCTGAAATCATTGCCCTTTGCTATTCAGGAGACGCTGCTTTAAGTACACTCTTACACACTTTTGTCAAGAGATGCTGGTTACGAAGACGTGAGTGGCTACGAGTCCTCAGGCACGCGATTACGGGCGTTTGGGTAGAGCTGAGTGCTTACATTGCTCTAAGGTGGCTTAAATGCTTCTGCTCTTCTGCACGTTCAAAGTGCCTTAAATCTTCACAGAATTTATCAGGAACACTTGTGCTACCGTGGGGATCGTTCAAAAGAAGTCCGAAATGAAAAAAAAAACATCTTTTTTTGACTTAGAAAAAGCAAATTAGTGAGGACAAGCGGAAGCATGCTCAGTTCTGCGCACGCGACTGCGGCGCTTGGACTTGCTACGGGGAGGCTGGAGGAGCTGGTGGGTCCTTGGGCTCCCTGGGCTGCTGGGATCAGCTGGTGGGATCCCAGGGAGCATCTCACTGCTGGGAGCAAGGGCAGCCAGCCGGCAGCGAGCGCTCCCGCGGCGCTCCGGGTTAACCCACGCAGGGAGACCCGTGCAAAATAAGCCGAACGCGACGCGTACCAGCCCTGCGATGCTCGCTCCCTGCCTGAGTGCTCTTACTCAGCCCTGGTGCGTGCTTTCCTGTGCTCCAGACCCATCCCTTTCCAAGCCATCGCATTAAAAGCCTTAATTCCTTTGTCATACGCACACGAGGTAGCGGTGCCGTGTGCTCCAGGGAAGCGGTTCCTGCTGAGCTTAAATTTTGCAACAGCAGAGAGCCTTTTCGTGCCTTTGGCAAGCAGGACCTTGCAGGAGGGGTTGGGAATTGGAAAGCGACTGGGAAACAACACAGGTTGGGTATTTTGGGCTGGCTCAGCCCTCTGTGTTTGCCCCGCAGATGTCATGGCGCCCGCAGTACCGCAGCTCCAAGTTTCGGAACGTCTACGGGAAGGTGGCGAGCCGGGAGCACTGCTTCGACGGCATCCCCATCACCAAGAACGTCCACGACAACCACTTCTGCGCCGTCAACGCCCGCTTCCTCGCCATCGTGACGGAGAGCGCCGGTGGCGGCTCCTTCCTCGTCATCCCTCTCGAGCAGGTAAGAGGTTTGGCTCTGGATCTGGTCCCTCGGCGCGGGGTGAGGACACACGCTCCATCCCAGGATGTGTCGAAGTCTCTGCTGTCCTTTACTGGGGTTTTCAGTGTGGGGGTTTACAGCTGCCTCAGAGAATTGAGGTTTTTTTCTTTAAGAAGAAAACGAAACATTTGTTCAAAGAGGTTTTGGTGAATCTCCATGAGCACGTGCCAGCGATGCGGGCGCTGGGCACAGCCCTACCTGGTCCCTTCCCGGTGGCCACGGCCACTGGGGTTTGTGACCCGGGATTTCACAGCTCCTGGAAAGCAGGGGAGTCCCTGCGGAGGCCCAGCAGGTGCCACCTCCTTGCCCTTTATCTCAGCTTGTCCATAGAATCTCAGCCCTCAAACCCAAAGCGCTGCACGGCTTGAGAGGAGGGACGCGGCTGCGCCCCCATCAAAACCCCCCGAGCAGCCGATGCCCAGGAGCCACGTGCCGTGCGGAGGGCTCTGCGCTTCGGTTCGCAGCTGTGCCCGTCCAAAGCGCTTTGCCCGGGAGGAGCCCCGTGTACCCCTCTGCGCCGTCCATCCCGTCGGCAGCACGTGTCCTTTCTCCCCACCGCACTGGGCTTTTGCTTCCCCAGTTAGGACGTATCCCCCCACGTGAATCCGCACGTCTCTCGCTCGTGCAATTTAAATTCCCAGCAATTCAGCTGAGGTTTCAGAAGTCAGAGGGCTGGAGCACCTCTGCTATGGAGACAGGCTGGGAGAGTTGGGGCTGTTCAGCCTGGAGAAGAGAAGGCTCCGGGGAGACCTTCCAGCACCTTCCAGTGCCTAAAGGGGCTACAGGAAAGCTGGAGAGGGGCTTTGGACAAGGGCGTGTAGTGACAGGACATGGGGCGATGGCTTTACACTGAAAGAGGGGAGATTTCAATTAGATCTAAGGAAGAAATTCTTCCCTCTGAGGGTGGTGAGGCACTGGCACAGGTTGCCCAGAGAAGCTGTGGCTGCCCCATCCCTGGCAGTGTTCAAGGCCAGGTTGGATGAGGCTTTGGGCAACCTGGTGTAGTGGAGGGTGTCCCTGCCCATGGCAGGGGGGTTGGAACTGGATGATCTTGAAGATCCCTTCCAACCCAAACCATTCTGTGATTCTAGCCACTCCGTGGGACGGCACTTGGTGTGCAGAAAGTGGTGCCTGGTGGGAGTGGTGGCTCCTGGCCAAGAACTTGTCTCCGTGGCAGACACAGACCTGCATCTCTTGGAGGAAAAGCTAGGCAGCAGTGACCTTGAACATGAAATACCACCTTTGCTTTGCTCCTGAAACTCAAGCACAGGGCACTGCCGCGGGGTACCATGGTTGTGCTGATGTTGCTGCTCTCCCACCGGTGCTCCAGTGTGTGGACCAGCAACTCTGAGCTGGTACTGGTATCGCACCCCGGAGCACCCTTCTCTCACCCCACAGCTCTTGGGCTGCAGGAGGGGACACAGGGGGTCCCGGTCACTTATTCTCAGGAGCATTTTTGCCATTGGAGAAGCTGCACATGCTCTCCTTAAGGATGCACCGACCTCCGGTAACTTGGCAACGCAGCGCGTGTGAAGACACACGACATGCATGGGGAGATGGTGGGCATCTCTCAGGCTGCCGGACAACAAAGTTGTGATGCCAAACCCGCTGGCATTGCCAGCCGGGAGGGGAGGG